GCACCACAGAGTACCCATCATATGGTAGTCGACCTCTGGTCGCTCCGCGTACAGTGACTCCTCGTACGCGTGCTGGTCCACCTCAGGGCGGCCGATCGCAATCCTCTCAGCTGCCCAGATAGAAAGAAAGAGAGGGCACCCACCAAAGGTCGCGCTGGGATCCGTCTTCGTGCAAACCTCACAAAGGCCACGGTACAGAGCCGCCAACAACGCGGAACCCCAGCTCCACTGAGGCACCTCGCCTACCACGGCGTCGGCGATGCTCCTGGCGTAGTGCACGAGTCCCTTGTCGACCGCGTGCCCGTGACCGCCACAGAACATCACCCAGCCAAAAAGCCAGAGCAAGTATGCCTCCAAACAGCGGCTGTAGGAGTACTCGTCGGCCTCCGCCTGTAGCTGCTCGACCTGCAAGCGTTCGATAAAATGTTAGGCACCTTAACTGTGGACTAAATATGTAGTACGCTTGTCATTTCGGTACGAAAACACTCATGGTGAACTGAAGCAGCCACCTCTTCGTAGGTCCGGTGTTGCGGTGGTGTGCCAACGGCTCGAGAGGGAGATGCGGTGCACGCTGTACTAGTGCGAAACGTGTTGTCAGATCGTCCTGCCAGTCCACACCCGTGGTCACTGGCCCAACAGCGTCTCCCGCGAGCGGTAGCCCCAACAAGTACGATACGTCCTGTAGGGTAGGGGCTACCTCACCGCACGGCAAGTGAAAAGTGTGCGTCTCTGGCCTCCATCGGTCGACCAAAGCTGCTAGGAGGGACCGGTCCACAGTCCATCGTCTGGCCGGGTCCGCGTCGCCGGCGGTAGCCTCCACCAGCCGACACATCGGTAGGAGGCCGGCCTCACGCAGCCTGCAATAACAAATTAATATGTCATTATAAAAATTATTACATCACAACTAATTTATAGTAATACACTGTTCGTACCTCTCGACAAAGGAGTCGTGAACCGTAAGTAGCTCACCGCACGTCCGTGCCCGGAACGTCCCAAGCTGAGCCCCCTGCACCGCAGTAAGGTGAGACCGGTGTCGGTGATCTATCGCCGGGTCCAACAACTGAGGTGTATCCTGACGTGCCATCTCTGAAAAATATAGTGTTTCGTGTTAGAACAATTCAAAAAGTAGTAATGTAAAACAAAAGATAACTTGTAAAATTATGAAATCGTAATAAAATCATGAGAATAATTATGTACAACAAGAGTACAGGCTATTTAAATATAGCAAACGTTACTAAGGGTACATAACGATGACGTGCAATTTAACATATATGTAGAGTTCGATAATATAACATAACATAACATAACATTATGTATCGAAGTCCGACATTACATCAGCATACCTAAAGACACTAGGTGCCTTAGTCTGACGTTACATCACGAGACCTAAAGACATGACATGCCGAAGTCTGACATTACATGACGAAACATAAACACATCGATAAGTTCGAAACAAATTACAAGCAAAGCCACATGCCAACATAGAACATAAGAACTACACCACGTAGCCAGACGTGGCACGACGACGCCTAGGACGTGGTCGAGTGGAGGTAGTGCCTTCACCCGTAGGGCGAGCTCCATCTGCTGCTGATCCTGATAGTCCTGCCTCCGCCGCACTTGGTTTCTCCTTGTCTTTAGGACAATGCTTGTAGGTGTGCCCACGTTCATCGCATTTGCTGCAACGCTTCACCCTGCCAGCCTCCGACTCGTCCATATCGTTGCGGATGCGACGAGTCTTCCTCCTTCCAGCCTTGTCTCGGAGCTTCGATGGGTCAGGAATATTGAGTACTTCATCGTTAGTCTCTGTGAACTCCCCAGCTATGCCGAACCCATAAATCTCGCCGCTCCATGTATGATATATTGCTTGCTTACTGAACTACTGTGACACATATACTGCATCTGGTATGCCACACTCCGCTGCGGCAGCAATGATATGGGTGCATGGCCTGTGGAGCAGCTTCTGCTTTGCACAAGAGCAATGACATGTGCTGTCGGCTTTGAGAATACACTCCTGCTTCACTCTCTTGCGGTAGATACCCCTGCATGCCTTATCTTGACATAGTATCTCAAACCTGTGCTGTTGGGTACCTTGCACTAGAGCTCGATGTTTCATGGCCTTTTTACGCAACTCCTCTAGCTTTTTTTGCATGAAAGTTCCAAACAAAATGCTGTTGTTCGGCATAGAGGGAAGAACTGCCTGGAACCGATCCCTAAAATACCTGCATGTCCCATGTAAAATGAACTCCACTATGCCAACTAGTGGCAGTCCACGGACACCGCGCATCACCCAGTTGTAAACTTCTGCCAAATTTGTTGTCATTATTCCATATCTAGCACCACCTGTGTCATACGCCTTGGCCTATTTCTCTTTTGGTTCATGCAGAATCCACTGAGAAAATTTCCGAATCTCCAATCTAGTTCTTCTAACCAATGTTGGACTATCCGTTGGGAGAGGTCCAAGAGCTTGAGGAGGGTCAGCATCGGCAGTCGATGGAGCCGCTGCACGCTGATCACTGCATTTGGCTGTCAACTCATCTAATCTCTTCCAAAGCTCATTGATTTTTTTCTCCTGGTTTTGATTGCATAGCCTCTTAAACATGTTCATGAGCTCCTTGTTCTTGAATTGCTTGAAGAAATTAGCTCCCATATGATGCATGCACCACCTACTCTGTACATCTTCCCACTCACCAGGGTATCCTCATTCCATACTCCCAAACTGTAACTCTTCTATCGCTCGCAGAATGCCAGCGTGCCTATCATGTATCAGGCACACATTTGGCCTCATACCAACAACTTTTGTTTTAACCAATTTCAGAAACCAGTACCAGCTATCGGTATTCTCACTCTCAACAAAAGCAAATGCCAAGGGCAATACCTGATTGTTCCCATCTACCCCTATTGCTGTTAGTATCTGGCCCCGATACTTTCCTGTCAAGAATGTCCCATCAATGCAGAGAACAGGACGACAGTTCACGAATGCCATCTTGCATGCATGTAGAGCTAAGAACGCCCTTTGCAGCACACTCTTGCCAGGATGTTCAATTGAGGGGAATTTCTTCACTTCGTAAGAGCTCCTAGGGTTTCTTTCCTCGATAATACCAAGCAGGCGTGGCAAATTGTCATACTAGGCTTCGTAAGTTCCAAATCTCATCTCTATTATTTTCTGTTTGGCCCTCCAGGCCTTGGCATAGCTAATAGTATACTTGTATGTCTCTTCGATGTGTCGGATTATTGACCTTGGTTTATATGTGAGATTATCGATGACATGCGCATACATCTCAGATGCAACAAATGCACATGTAATGTTCCTGTGGTATTTCTGAACACCAGGTAGAAAACATGTATGCTTGGTAACGACTGACACTGTCCAATAATCCTTCCATTTCCCCTTATATGCGTGCACTCTCCAAGGACAACCATCTTTTTCCTTAACACACCGAACTTCATATTGCGACCGATTGGACTTGGCAACCCAAAACTCTCTATGAAGTGACACTGCAAAATGTTTTACCGCCTCCTTCATATCTTCTGCTCTACTATAAATCGCTCCTTGAATAACCTCATTTTCTTTGTACTCCCATCTCACACTATCCTTTTCAGAGACGACCAGCCCAGAAAAATCCTCACTAGCCCATTCTGCTGGATTAATATCCGTCTCATCATCTGACGAATCACCTTCCTCTACACGCTCGTTGTCAGAATCCTCCCTCTCCATTTCATCCACAATGGCACCACAGTCTCCCCCTCGTCGGCCACTCTACCTGGTTGAATGCCCACTGGAGCTACTACGCCCCTGTCCTCTCGTGCGTTGACCTCCTCCACAGAAGTCTCATTTACTTCAGCACTTGGTCCCTCGCCATCATCCATGTTCATCTGCACACCTGGATCCTTCGGGTGAACAAACAGAACCATAGCTAGAGGCCACCCGCGTTGCAATGCATTTTTCACATACCATCTCCACACTCGAGAGTTTTGAACTGGTATTAGTTCCCAATAAAAACCCTTAGTTGCCCAACTTACTATAACATTGATTGTTATGTCACTTGTCTGTGGATCAACTCTCAAGCCCCTCATTAACCATCCTTTTATAGAAGGTACACTCCTCTCAGCCGGTCTATCAATTCCCCTTTTCTGATACAATAAAATCTGACAGATCTACCCCAGTTGACCCGTAACGGATGTTTCCTGGGCCATGGTAAACTTGGAATATTTGTTTGTTCGACATATCTGTCAACGAAATAACTAGATTATATTACTCTTTCATGCAATAAACATCTACAACGTAATATCTTCTTGTGTATGCCAATGCAACGGTAAAGTATTGATTCCAAACTAGCAGATCTACGTAGTTACCGATATCTGCAATACGCACTTCTAGATTAGTACAACTAAAACCCTAAAAATATAATGCATTTATTCAAACAAAGTTTTAAAAAATACACACTATTTAACTCAATAGTCACATATAGGATCTATGAATATTACCTGAAATCGGCGTCTGAATCCGGTAGGGCTTCGCCCCTTCTTCTCTTCTCCTCCCCTTTCTTCTTTTTTTTCACTGGATTTGAGAGGGGAGGAATGAGGGCTGGGAGCTGGGCGGCAGGCCTTTTATAGGCAGCGAGGCCTGCCGCCCGGCCAGAGGGCGGCAAGGGGCCGCCTGCAAAATGCCGGCCCCGACTGGTTTTTTTTGCATTCAGGCCCCTTGCCGCCCCAACAGAGGGCGGCAAGGGCTTTCCTGCAAAAAAACCCTCCCTCCGTCACCGCCCGTCCCTTCCCCGTTTGCCACGTCAGCTTGCCGCTCCAAAGGTGGGCGGCAGGGTCTATTTTTGCAATTTTTTTGGCCGATAGATTACTTCTGTAAATATTTTTTAAAAAAAATCTAAAAATGAAAAAAATTCGGGGCGTCACTCCAAGTCGCTTCTTTTATTTGGGCCGGGCAGTTTCTGGGCTAGACCCATTTTACTGTTTTGGCCCGGCCCATTTAGCCGCCGCTACTTTCCAGCTTCCAAGGAGGCCACACCACGCACCGCAGCTGCAGCTCATCCCCACGACCAAATCTCGCCGTCTCCGCCTCGCCGCCGCCGCCGCCGCCGCCACCGCCAAGAGGGGGGGAAGCAACCCGCAGCCGCCGCGCGGCGAGATGAACACCGACATCACCGCGTCGGTGAAGCCGGAGTACCCGGTGGTGGACCGGAACCCGCCCTTCACCAAGGTCGTCGGCAATTTCTCCGCGCTCGACTACCTCCGCCTCTCCACCATCTCCGCCGTCTCCGTCACCGTCGGCTACCTCTCCGGTACGTCCTCCCCCCACCCCTCTCTACGTTCCACCCCTGGGAGGAGGAGGCCTCAATTCCGCGCGTCCTTTGCAGGGATCAAGCCGGGGATCCGCGGGCCATCGATGGTGACGGGAGGGCTCATCGGGGTCATGGGAGGGTTCATGTACGCCTACCAGAACTCCGCCGGCCGCCTCATGGGCTTCTTCCCCAACGACTCCGAGGTCGCCCGCTACAAGTACAAGCTGTAGTGAGAAACTTTATCGATTCGCTGCGTTCTCTCTCTCTCTCTCTGCTGCTGCAAGCGTTTACATCTTTTTTTTCTTTTTCCTGATGATCTCGTTTTAGCGTCACTTGTTGATGTGCGAGATGTGTGGCCTTGGCTGAATAAATGTTGTACGCTGCACGCTTGTGAGGAATTCGTGCTACAATTTAGCTCCCTTTGCCATGGTTTAGTGGCAATTTGGTTGCCGATCTGGTAAAAATTTATGGAACTGAATGTGACCCCCTGCCTGTGAAATTTGGGGATTTTGTTCTTAAGTGACTCTGGAAGTCGTTTCAGGAACTCAGGATTTGGGAGGTTGATTTCTTTACATGTAGTGGTAGTCTTGTGGTACTGGCCAGATGCGGGGCAAAGTCTGCCTGCCAAATAGTTCGTAGATAGTTGTTGTGAGAGGGGAATTATAACTTGCATCTTGGAGAATCGTAAGGAAGTAAGATGTTACGATGAGGGAGCACAGTGATAGTTCTTGCTAACCTAAGAATACATAAATTGCTATGCCACATTTAGCTAAGCGGTCTCTAGTGGTTTTGCTCTTAGTTTATTCTCTCAGATGTTATATACACTGAAAATATTATTTGAGGCAAGGAACACTCAGCGGTGAACAGTACTGCCTCAAATTTTGCCGCAAAAGGACTAATATTAGTTTTTATATATGTAAATCTGAAGGCATGATACGATAATTATTTGATTCTGAGTACCATGATGGCATGGTTGAACTAGTTTAAGACGCCATATTAGACTAGCAATGCCATGCTGCATAGTTGTCTTATTCATTCTCTTATGTAGGTTAGCAAGATATATGAGATAACATATCAGTAATCAGGACGCATAACTTGATTCAGTTGTTTGTTTTTCATACTCATCTCATCCCAATGCTTTTGATACCAAATCACGTGCAGTGTTTAGTTCAGAGAATCGGATATTGGCTCCTCCTATGTCTCAAACTGCTTGGCTGCCTACTAGAAATGAGTTGATAATTGTAGCATTTAAAAAAAAAATCGACCGCTGTCCTAGCTTTGGTGATATTCAGTCGTGGATTTAGAATTTTTTTTAGCCTAAGCAAGCCTAATGATAGATAAGAAGTACACATAAACCCATATAACTACATAGACCATTTATCATAGGCATAAGCAAAAAATTACAGTTGTTGAGTTCTAATTTACAAGGAAAACCGATGTACAAAATTATATTGATGAAATGATGGCCGTGTATTATCTTAAATAGAAATTATATAGGGCTTGTATTATCTTAAAAAGGAAAAAAAAAGATGATGAATGCTGGACAGTTAGGTCACCTTGCCTTCATATTGCAGACATATGATGATGTAAGTATTTGCTTTGCTAATTTACGTTGCTGATCCACTGATCTGACATTCTGATCTCCATTAGAACTAGTTGATTAAACATGTCAAATTACTTGTTGTTCCAAGGTTTGTCCTAAGTCAAACATTTGTATCTTTGACCAACAATTTCTAGAAATTCATATAGTTCAACATCATAAAATTAATGTTTTTAAGATGCACCATGAGAAATGTTTTTATAATATACAATTCACATGTTGTTAAACTACACGAATTTCTAGAAACTGATGATCAAAGATAAAAGTGCTTGATTTAGGACAAAGCTAGAACTACAAGTAATTTGAAATGGAGGGAGTACCTATTATTAGTACTTAACTGCACGCGGCTCAACGCCTGAACCTATGATGATAACTAAGTACTGCTCACTGCGCTGCATGTGGCAAAGTGACGCTAATTAAGTATTACTGGTCACTTGATGCATGCGGCGGAGCCCGGGCACCTGTGGCGGCCTGTCCAGGGTAGTCAATTCCTGGCTCCGCAACTGGTGATATTCCTGAGCTGATGACTTGTTCAGCCACCCTGCATTGTACAAGAACATGCAGTCCAGAGATGTTGATTGGAGAGTGTGAGTTACTTTTTGCTTCCCCATGCTTGATCACATTAAGTAGTTCTTTAGGAAAAGAGGACAAACCTATGTATGGTGCCAGCTTCCATCAAAATGTTTTGTTTTAGAAATGATGTGTGTGTTGTAATGTTATTCTTGCTTATCATCCATATCTAAATCGTTATGTTCTTGAAAAATGGAAATCAGAAACATAGTTTCCAATCTGAATCTTTTGGGAAGGTTCTAGGGACTACATATTCTGGTTACTTTAAGTTGGTATAATTTAATAATATAGCTCTTTGGCGTCCTAGAAAGTATCATAATTTCATATTTAGTATGGTAAATGAAAAATATTGGTGGAATGAACAAAGAATTGGTCAAACAGAGGACCTCACACTGATTGTTTTTGGATTTGCATGTTGCTTGACAAATAGAAGTATAATTTACCCAGAATGCCTCCATCTATCTTGGAAGATTTGGTAAAGTACGGTGTCACTTCTATCTATGCTGAATGCCTGTATGTGTGCAACCTGAGTATATAGTTGTATGCTGTATGCCTGTATATGCGCAACCTCTATGTTGTTGCAGTAGAACGTTTGAGAAGTTTATCTGAAACCAATTGTTTTCCTTTTGCTACATAATTACATGAGCTTGTGACTCCGTTCTTAGTTAAATGTTGCACCATTGTTAGTAATTAATCTGCAGGTAAAAATATGACCAGGAAGTCTTCTGAATAACAGGTGTTATGAGACTAGGACGATGACATTGAACTCTGGAATTTACTGCAGTAAACCAACGCGTCTATTAGTGGATCATCGGATTCGTTCCCTGTCCCTCCCACAGCAGTAGAGGCGTGAGATGACATAGAACATCCGCGCTCATCCCTTTGCCCTCAAGAACATTGCAGAAGTAGACAGTGAACACAGATATAGGGTGGGGCTCTCTCTTTATTATAGATTTCATTTGGAGTACAAGCCAGCCAATCTTAGATGTCTCGCCCTGCCCTTATATATATAGGGGTCTTAGGAAGGAGGAGATAGATCTTACCTCTACTCCGTTTGGATTAGTCCAAAAAAAAAAGATCTTATCTCCCCGGGAGATAATATTCCGTAACATTTGCATCTACCAAAGTTAGCTGCATAGTTTTTCTGTATTTGCTGATTTGCATTTTGCAGTAATTTCCTCTTGGCACAAGGTTTTGGCTTCTACATTAGCTTTTTAATTAGAGGTTAGCTATGCGTTTATTTCACAAGTCAGTGCGGGGGGCATAATTTCAAAACTTATTGTTCAGTGTTTGAGAAATCAGCTTAATATCAAACAAATTGTGTTATAAAAAATTCTGCATATGAAATAGAGCCCTGTTTTTTTTACAAACATTAACCTCTCTAAGCTGCGTAGGATTGCTGAAATCCTTATTATCAACCTGGTCAGGGAAGAACGCAACGACCCACGAAATTCGTGGGCTAGTTTAGGTTCACTTCTGGCCCCGCAGAGATCTTTGCGGCCCATAAATATTAATGGACCGAAAGTTCCGGTTGGACCAAAATACAGATGGTCCACCATGAAGACGGGCTAGATTAGGTCCATATATATAGGTGGGCCGAGAATACCGTATGGGCCACCAGTTGACCTAGCTAGTGGACATAAAAGGATGGTTTGTAAATTTGACTTCCCGTTCAAGTTCAGGGCTACAATTTGGGAGTTTTTTTTCATTTTTATTTTTTAATATTCACAGAAATATTATACCGGTGAAAATATTTACAAAAATAGAAATATTAAGGTGACGTGGCATATGGTGCCATGTGTGTATTTTGCGCTGAGGTCATATGCAATTTTCGCCGCATGCAAAATTCGCATGCCCGCTCAGCAGCCTCCAATACCTGGTCACACAAGTCACCCTGCCACCCTCCCCGAGAGCGGCAGGGTTTATTTCTGTAAATATTTTCACCGGTATAATTTTTCTATAAATATTAAAAAATAAAAATTTAAAAATGAAAAAAATCTACAATTTGGCGCATGATATCCCCGTGGATTGGGCTAAAAGTAGTAAGGCCGAGGAAAAAGCTAATAACTGGATAAATAAACAAGATGGGTACCACGCGCGTTGCTGCGGGAGAATTGTGTGATAATATAATATATATATGAGTTCTAAAATTTTCTTTCTTACCTACTATACAATTTTTTTTCATGTTTTATATATTTTTATACCTTTATCAATTATCCAAAAGTTATAAATGATTGGGTTGTATGGTGTGCCTTTTAGGAGAAAGAGATGCAATTTGCAAGAACCGCATCAATTTGCGTCAAAGGTCCTAGATACATAACTGCCCAAGATATTATCTTACCGCCTTGATGAATCATCCAAATACTAAAATAAATTGAGGTGATGTGAAAAGAAGCAATTTACACCCTTGATGAATAATCCAAAGGCTAAAAATAATTAAGGTGATGTGGTTTCATGAGAGAAGAGAGAATTAGCATTAACTATACTTAGTGGGGATAAACTTTATAGATATATAGGATAATTCCACTTCGATTTTCTTAACTAGCAGCCGAATCTGACTCATTTACAATAGCAGATCTCTCAACCCCCAATTATTAAAACCAGTGCAATTTGATTCCCTCGACTGTTTTGGAATTTGGAGGATAGTTTCGTTGACGTGGCGGTGTTAACATGGTATTCATCCAACATGACATTGACATAGCGCTTATGTGACATTAGAATTAAAAAAATATGAGACCCATTTGTCATGTAAAAAAAAGTTATGGGACCCACTAACATGTGGGGCCCGCATAATCATCTTCTCCTTCCTTCTTCCTCCTCCCTCTCTCTTCCTTCTCTCTCCTTCTCACATAGCTGGGGCTGAGCGGCGGCGGCGGCAAGAGATGGAGCGGCAGCGGCGGGTGGAAAAGGAGCTAGGTGGCAAAATCAAACAGTGCGGCGACGAGGAATGGTTGCGTGCCCTGAGCACAATTCCGAAGGGAGACGGCGCGCGGTGGAAGGCATCGGTCATCGAGGAAGATGGGAAGCGTGCTCCACACCGCCTCTCCTCGTCGCCGCTGCTCCACGCTGCCGCTCCTCTTCCCTGCTCCCCATCGTCGGTGGAAGGTGTCGGCGGAAACCGGTCCACACCGCTGCTCCTCGCCCCCTCTGCTCCGTGGAGCCATCCTCGTCCCAGTTCCGCGCTGCCGCTCCTCGTCGTTGGTGGAAGGCGTCAACGGAGGCGCCGCGAGTTAGGATGAGATGGAAGGAAACCTCTGCTAGAACGGCCACGTCGTCAACGCGTGGACCGAGCGCCTGATCTACTCCTAACTCATTCCAACACCATAGTTTGGTATGCCACTACTACTTTGCTCTCTAGTGCCGCCATGGCGCCATTGCCAAGAATGCCACCTTACTACGTGCTTGTGACCAGGGTTTCCCTTATCGTTTGGAGGGGGGTTATCGCACCCCTGCTATAAGGCGGTTACTGTGGTAACCGCTGAAAACCGTGTTAATTTCGGCGGCAAACATTTGAATTAAAAAAAATTGATGGTTTCGCGGTTTGGTTGCGGTTATCACACGGTTTGACACGGTAACCACGATATTTGCGCGGTAACCGTGAGTTGTGTAGCCGAATAGAATAATGCTAAAAAAATTGAAAAACCACCTAAAAGTAGAAATTAGGGATAATTAGAAGAATATATAGGATACTTGTAAACCTAACTTTTGGATGTAAAATACAGAAAACGGGCATGACTTTTTCTATATTATGGAGATATTTTCTCCTCTATTGAGCCGGTTGCATGGTACAACTTAAGGCCCAATACCTTTTTTTATTTTTTTTCATTTTCTAAACTATTATTCATTTTGCCCTCAAATATGATTTTATTTTACTCTTTTTCAAAAAAAATCTTCACCATCTACCTTTTTTTTTAAAAAAAAACAAGAACTACATTCATGCTTTTTTTTTGGAAATGTTGAATTTGGTCAAAATTCCATAAAACCCTATTGACGGTAACCATCATCGTACCCCTGCGGTAAGCACGGTTATCGTGCTAACAGCACAGTTTTCGACGGTAAGGGAAACCTTGACGACAACCTACGGCCCCCCACCCCCCACAGCCTTGGCTCTACTCAACTCTTCATCATGGATGGCGCTTGCATGATCCATGACCTTCTTGCTTCCATCAATGTCAACGAACTAGGTCGGGCAGGGAGGGGGGGGGGGTTAGCGGAGGCTAGGGGCCGGAGGCGGTTGCTACCCGTGGCCTGTCGACAGGAGGTTCCCAAGCTGTCACTGTAGACGTACACCATCATCACCTCCACGTGGTTGCAACTCTTCGCCCTGCTGGCACTGGCGAGCTATAAAAGTTATTGCGGAGGATGATTCATGGGAGAAGAAGGGGAGCCCGCCGCGGATTACCGGAGCTCCTTGTCGCTGACCTCACACTGCCACTGCCTCCTCCCGTTGACGGGCTTACCGGCCACCACCCCAGCGGTGAACTCCTGGGGAAGAGTAGGAGATGAGAGGAAGAGAAGAAATGAAGGGAGGGAAAGTAGAGGAGGCCATTTACATGTGACCCTCATATGGTTTTTCTATTTTATTCTTACTGACTAGGATATCATGCCGGCAAAACCACATACCCATAGTGTTATAGGAGTATGACCTAATTTGACCCGGTTTTAAGATTTCCGGTATTGACGTTACATAAAGTTTGAGGGACGTGAACTAGACTTATTTCTTATGTGAATGGGCTATATCGTTTCGTTTGTAAGCCTTCCGGCCCATCTTCTGACCAGTCGGCACAAAAATGGGCTGGAAGCCTCTTTCAAAGACGTTCCCTGTCTTCGTCGGCGACGGCGGCGGACGACGCCGGCGGCGAGTAGGCTTCCAGCAAATACCGCGGCCTAAACCCTAGCCCACTCCGGCGATGACCAGGTCTCGCCCCACCCCACCCGCTCGATGGGGGCGCCCGCTGGATAGAGGAGCAGCGGCCGACCAGCCGCCAGTGGCGAAGCTGTCGCCGCCACCGATTCGCGCGCCGCGGCACTGTTCCCACCTAGAGAATCGCGCTGTTCGACCTCGTCAACCACGACGGCGCTGCCCCGGCCTCCCGGTACACCCTCTCCGTGGCTTTCGGTGACGAGGGATTAAGGTATTCGTTTTCGTAGTTCTTATCTGTTCTACTTTTTTGATAGTTTGATGCACATTTGGGGTTAGGATGCTGCCCACCGCGAGTGCTGATTCAAAGCTAACTTACTGAATTTAAAATGCTTTGCCGACACCGGACGGCGCAGCTGAGCAACTGCGGCGCCGGTTTTGAGAGACTGGGAATACTAAATTGGAGTAAATATCCCACTACGTGAGCTGAATGCATAGGGACGATGGGAGACTTGTTGTTTATTATGTGCTAAATCGCCGACTTAATGACAGTTCATTAGCTGTTGGCCACATTAGCTTTAAAACTAGGAGGCTTAGCTATGATTTTTTGTTCACTTGTTAATTTTTTCAAGTTATGCGCCTTTTTGTGCATCATATAATTTAGAGTAATTGAAAAGAAATGTGGTCTGGTTCGTTCCTTCAATTCATCCCAAGAAAAGGTCTCGCAAAGATAAATCGTAATGCGTGTATCTTTTGCAGTTGGGAGTGTTCTGTCCAAAAGATTTCTAATCATCATAACTAGCCCAACTAATTTCCCAAATCGCGAAAAATCTTTCAGCACTTCATAACCATCAACTACTTGATACAAATGTGCAATAATATATGTCCTCTAAAGTTAAGTCCTATTGTTAACATATGTCGAAAAGCTTTCCTTCTTTGCTTAAAGAAAGGTGAAGGCATGGAATGTTTTGGGAGTATCAAACACTCTCTCACATCACCAATAATGCACCATTAAAAATTCGTACCATCAACTGTTGCCCCTGTATTAGGACACCCTTAGACATTTGCATCAGGAACCTGACGTGGGTGCAGAAAATTATATTAATTGTTTAGCCTGCTGTTGTTGCTGTCTCAGTTCAAAATGCTAATTATCAGCAATTTGTCTACCTATATTTCTACTAACAACTTGTCAAAAGTTAAAAGTAAAGCATTACTCACAACAATTGCATTGGATCATGCATTCAACTATGGTATCAAGTTGATGAAGGACAAAATTATATATGATTCAACTTTCTGGAGCTGAGTCTGACAGATTGAAAAGCCATAGGAAACGGCTGCCAGTTCGCCTGTTTGTTTGTCCAGTGATTCCATTTTGGTGATGTTTCATATAACCCAATCAAGCAACATTCACGAAAACCACATATGTTTTGATCTTGGGAACTTGTTGAAGCAATGATCTGGTTATCTGAATCTATGTAAAGCAAATGCACTGAGATAATGATGCACACCAGTAGACTGATATCCTCTTACTTCTTTTTTCCTTGACAGTATAACAATGTACAATTGTTTTCTTTCAGAAAAAGATGGGAGCATGCTTTTAGGTTCCTGTGATCTGCTTTCTTCATAAATTCAGTTTATGGTTCATGTTGAAGACATCCTGATGATGTAAATGAGATATTAGTTCACTGGTGGGAGGGACATCATCGCAAGTATTTAATTGGGTTTTGAAGGCTGATAGAATGGAACTAAGATCTGGAGCTCATGCAATGCTACAACTGTGGTAATAGATGCTCTTTCTGGATTAATGTAATTACTATGGTGAATTGGCAGATGCACATTAATCTTGTGAGTTTATATTCTACTGCTGATTCAGATTTATTCGCTTGTCATTTGGATTGCTTGGTTTTCTGTGATTCGATCTTGCAACTATTACCATCCATTCTGTCAGGTGCATGATTTGAATAACTCTCCTGCTAGATTGAAATTAAATTTAAGAGTACGAAATTTGCCGTTTCAACTTTTGATCGGCATGGCAAGCTCTCATGCATTAGGAAGGGACAACCTAATAAAAAAAATCAATGTAGTGCCTCATCAGCAGCATTAATGAAGTATGCACATTAGCTGTAGCTGCACCATTGGACTTTGACGAGTCAAATTGTCATTTGTGAACTACTGTAATCACTGTTTTCCTTTTCTAATGAAGCTGATTGAGATCCAAATGCTCGTGATGAAAAGCACAGCATGGGATGGTGCGCCCTGTTTAAGGGCAGCATGATGAGCAGAATCCAATAGGTGAAAAGATTCGGCACCATGGTGTCCCTCGCACGCAGCTTCAGCGAAGCTGCAGCCAGCCCAAATAGCAAGAGTAAACAAATGCAGCCAAGTACACAGTATAGGTACATGTCTTATGCATGTGAATTTGTTATTATCAATTTACCATGTTCCAACACCTGTTACTACTATTAACCATGACTGGTGATTGTTGGCTTTATAATGATATTTATATGACCTCACCCTGTCCAGTTAGAAATATGTCTGATTTAGTCAGCCCCAATAAGCCACAGCCAAACAATATAGTTTGGTATTACCCAGTATCACAGTATAAGTCTATCCTCCTGGCACACGATACAAGTCCATCGACAAAACCAAGAGGTTATTTAACCACTTGATTTTTCTTCAGGTTTTTGCACGCACAAGATCATACCTAACGTACAGGTACAAAAATATTTTTATAAGAGCCATCTATCTGTCTGTCAGTACCTGTTTCTGCTAATTATTAGTTCTTGCTTATTTTTTTTCTCTGTACACAAAGCCAGTGCAAATTAAAAAGATTGTACTAATTTTAAACTGGGCAGCATCCAAGCAGAGTGAAGCTACTCCACGCAAGTGGGAGTTTTTCCTGTCAGCAAACTCAAACACATTGGAATTAATAATTGCATCCTATTGTTCCCTGTTCCCTTCCTTGTTTTTCCCCCCGCTGCCTCCTCTCCTCATATCTGCCCATTCGGTTATAAAAGTAGACCTGGTCTCGTCCCCTCTTTGCACCAACACAGCATTCTTCCTGCTCCAGTTCTAGTCTTCTAGGGTTAGAAGTGATGAGAGGTCAAGATAAGCTGTGGGTAAACAAGCTCAATCACTATGGTGTGGGTGTAGAGATCTGATCTATATATCCAGGTAATTAATTAAACTAATTACGTTAAGTTTACTTTCGAGCCATCTGTGATCTTGGCATGACTGCTGGTTTGCAGCTATGGCTTTCAAAAGCTTGCTGTGTCAATCTCCTAGATCTAATGGTTGGCACAGCAAGTATATAACACATATTTTGGTTTGTTCACCTAGATCTGCTTTCCTTTACTGTTCCATGTCAATATTGATCCTTGTGGAACATAGAATATAAGGGGCAGCACAGATCTTGTTAAATTACATAGTGTGCTTGATCTGTGGTACCAGTTTGATTTTTTCTGATACATGGGAATCTCATACTAAATGCCAACGTTACTTTTCCTTTCCAAAAATCTTGCTGGTTCAGGTATTATTTACATATCAGGTGCACTTAACATGCATGTACGCTTGATCTACCAAAGATGTCTTCAGCAAGTTTATTACCATCTATCATAAAAAATAAGTATATTACAAGATGCAACAAAGCAAAGGTGCCACTATACTGCATATGGAACCTTAAGTGAAGTCACCTCACTGGGGGTTTTAGAGTTGGAGATGCCTCCATTGTGTGTGATGCATATTTTCCACTTCGGATGGCTAATAAAGTAATAATAACATAGCAAAACTATATTTGTTATTGACAATACTTGACACTTGATTGTGCTAACATTTACTAGTTCTTCTTGTAGGTTTTGTAACCAGGGGCAATAAGCTAGAGGCAGCAACTGCATAACTTGCGAGAAACTTGTAAGATTTCTTTACAACCTATGGAAAAGATAGGTTTACTTGTCTTAATTTTTTGCTGTTCTTGTTAACTAGGAAACCAGAAGAATTATTAACAAGAGAGAATTTATAACAAACAAATTTGATGCCAATTCTATCCTTGACTCTTTTTTTTTCTATTTTTTTTATCTCTTGAGTCATCTAGTCATTTCACTGTTTGAAAGTTGGGAACATCTGCATCACCTAAGATATGATCCTACCTATCCCTGTGGAATGTGTTATCTGTGTGTTCAGTTTACAGGCTGTGTTACTAAAATAATGCATGTATTTGTGAGTAGTAGTGTTCTGATGTGATGACCTTCAAGCTAGACCTCCACATTTGCGAGAACTTTCACCATCAAGACAAAAAAACATGATGAAACAACCTATCCAATACATATAAAGCGCCATAGGATGAACTCACTCATACCAAACTGGCACTCTCATGGTATGGTATGACATGTGGAAATGGGTATACGCATGAGATCTCCCGGAACTGAATTCACTTTGATATAATAACACCTTGGCATGTAATAGCATTAGTAAATGACGTCCAAGGAATATTAGAGTAATCATAGCGTTAATACTGTAAAAGGAACATATTACTTGTACTAGTCCTTGATTGACATTCAGGGTCTGTTTAGTTCCCACACCACACCCTGTCACATCGAACGTTTGAACACCTGCATGAAGTATTAAATATAGGCTAAAAAAATAACTAATTGCACAGATTGCGACTAATTTTGAGATGAATCTTTTAAGCCTAAGTGCTCCATGATTTGACAATGCGGGATTAATTAGGCTTAATAAATTCGTCTCGCGGTTTACTAACGGATTTTGTAATTAGTTTTTTTATTAGTGCCCAAACACCCCATGCGACACCCTATATAATATCCGATATGACACGCTAAAACTTTACACCTCTAGATCTAAACACCCCCTCAATACGTACTGAAACAGCTACCGGAATCCAGAAGTAAAACTTTTTCACCTGAGTATCACATAAGCTCAGCCATTTCGCTATGGTACTCTAAGGTCTAAACATGGCAAATAGTCTAAGTCTGTAACAATTATTATAGATATCAGTACAAACAACTTAATGGTGAGGAGACAGTTATATCATGATTTTCATGCTGATTATTATTCCTATATATGATGTGCTTCCTTCAGGTTGGATGATGATCTTGCCAATGATTTTGCCGCAAGTTATGCAGTTGCTGCCTCAAGCTTACTGCCTTTGTTTGCTAAACCATGAAACCAGCACAACAATAAGAGACTCCAATTGCAAGAGACCTTCCAGGAAATCTTTAGTAGGCATCATATGTTCAATACAAATATACCTGAGGTTGTTAGAGCAAATTATCTGCTCATGTACGATTACACTATCTCTATTATCAGAAAATCACAAGAACTTTTGTTGCTGGGTTTTGCATTAGTACAAGTATCTGGCTCCTGATTTTTCTTGACGTTTATCATTTTCCATTCTGAGCTATACGAGCAATAGGCTCCGGATTGTAGTGATCTCCTGTGCAAGTTTTACCTCTTCGGCAAAAAATAATTGTCGGCCTACGGGGCAAACTATTCTGTCCCCTCTAACTAATAATGTCTTTGAACATTTTGATCATATACCCTCCCATTTTATCAAAAATTGAGGATTTATTCTTCTGTCACTGACATGTAGGGTTTATCTGAGGGCATTGACATGCGGACCATGAGGGTAAATCCTCAATTTTAATCTAATGGGAGGGCATATGATCAAGATCCACATTAAGGACCAGCTATTTAAAATACGGAAATTAAATTCTTAAAAAAATAGTAAGTAGATCTGTATACTTGTAACATTTCAATTTATTAGGTTACTGCAACAAAATTGATGGAGAAAATACTCCAAAGAGTCGTGTGTGAATTATGACCAGATATTTGTACCTTTCAATACGGTGGAACTTTCCTGCTTAATGACAGTAGAAATCACAATGTAAATGAACTAGTCACTTGATTATAAAGCCTCATTTAGAGGATCACAACCCTTACATGGGTTTCTTTGGAATTCAGATAGAATAGGCTCTTCCATAGGGATTTTGGATTTAAATTTTGTGAGGTCATATGTCATGTTTTCATTTCTTTGTTTTTGTAATCTTATATTTCTAGACTTTGTTTCCTACAAATGCCTTGTAAAGTTTTCACGAGTTGTTCATTCCTCTGGATTTTAAAGGATGTGACGCTATTATATTTTTTCTTTAAGCCACAAACAACTAAATTTCAACTCATTTCAAGTGACAAGCTAATGCCAACGCCCAACGCATCATTCGTTGGCCATTTTCTTGTGCATTTGCCTATACACAGTTTGTTCTTAATCTAGCCTTATTCAGATTTATGTGAATGGAAGTCCTCTACGTTATAGTGTTCATGGCTGTGTGGTTAACACTTAACAGTCTATAGGATTGTTTAATTCATGGTAAAACCTGGTTCGATGGAAAAATAGCCAAATTATTTTCCCGGTCCTTGAAAGAGGTACCGAGAGTGTTGTGCTGAATGGATGAATAACTGTATAGTTTGTGATAATAATTCGAATGTACAAACGAACTAAGGGTGCGTTCGTTGGATTGGGTGAGAAAGCCCCATCGTATTCCGCGCGCACGCTTCCCAAACTATTAAACGGTGTATTTTTTATAAAAATTTTCTATAAGAAAGTTGCTTTAAAAAATTATATTAATCTATTTTTAAAATTTAAAATAGTTAATACTCAATTAATCATGCGCTAATGGCTCACCTCGTTTTGCGTATCTTCCCAATCTTCTCAAACTCCTTCTCCTCAAACTCACCCTAACTATATATTATAAAGTTGAAATATAAATTTGAAATGTTTTTTTAAGAAATTTATATATATAAAGTTTTTATGAAAATTATGAACCATGGCAGTTTGACCAAACCATCGTCAACCCGACAAATAAGCCTTCCTAGATTTTTATTGAGAATCTCACTATCGCATTAGCCACTGATAAATCTATAAAGGAAAGGGAAAAAAAAGACTTTGTTAGAGCATCCATTGCTTGAACTCCTCTCTCTCAAATATGGAGTAGTTACTTAGGACTATTTTTTAGTAACTATAGTAATATGAGTGAGTTGTAACTTGGGTCAATTTTTATTACCAAAGTTTAGGAAAATATATAATATAAACCATATATGTAGTGTAAATCTGAAAACTACCATGGGATCGAGAAATAGACGTATGATATTTGTCCATGTCACCTGGAGTAAAATTTTTACTCTTATAATTAACCAGATTACTGAGAGTAAAAAAAATATCAGGCTTCTACTTCTCAATCTTACAGTAGTTTTACACTAGATATGTAATTTGCACCATATATTTTCTCCCAAAGTTTTATTTTGGATCATCATTTACATTTTTTTTACCTTTTTTAGGTTGAATGCTACAAGGCATTTGCCCCGTACTGTTTTTTTTTCCCTTTAGCCTAGGTTTTTTTTTTTTCAATTTGGAACACTCCGATCACTCTCCTTTAGCACACCAACGACATCAAGCACATCGCCACCACGCATCAGCGAACTCTCCTACGACCAAGCCATACTTTCCTGGAGAAGACGATATGGATGGTTAAGGAATAGAGTCAGGGTAGTAAAATAAATATAGAGTTGGCCAAAAGTTACTTTAACAGTGAAAGATGCCCCAAAAATGCAATTCACTCTAGTAATATTTTGACAACTACAACAAAAAGTGTCTTTGAATAATTATCCAATCCAAAAAATGTGTTTTGAGCTAAACTAGGCACGAACTTAAAATATCAACAAGTCCGAATCAACCATATAATCTTAGAAGAAAAAGAGGTCCAAACCTTAACCCACTTGTCAAGGAGGAAATCAACTGCTGCCACATGAGCTTAGTTGTAAGTATGAAGTAGCCAAACTAGATGCCGACTTCAACTTTTCACTAGTCAAATTATACTGGCATTTATTTATATACTCCAAAAAAGGTTCAAAGAATCAAAGTAGAGCAAATTATCTATCTATATGTCTGGTCAGTGCTGAATGTTCAAACCAGTATCAACTTGTTAAATTTAATAATCTAAACGAGCAGAGAGTGCAAAGAATATAAGATATTTTTAAAAAACTATGAAAATTATGAAAGAAAGCCATGGTATAAACTATCGGTGGCTAAAAGCATGTGAACTTTGGCGGCGAGCTGCATCTGTGCTGGCACAAACTGTTTTATTCTGCACTAGTAACGTAGTTTTTAACACCCATCTGATTAAAAATCGACAAAATGAGTAGCTACCTACTTTGTTTAAAGGTGTGTAATTGAATATTAGCACATAATTTAGATGGGGGAATATGTCTTGGGATGTGTGAAGAGAGGCAGTGTCTTAACATTGCCAATATGTTATTAGCAATAATGCATCATTAAGAATTGGCTACATTAGAAGATTCCGGTAGTAAAGCGTATCCAGCAGACACACATCCGCATGTAGAGTATCAGACACCATACCTCACGTGGCTGCTGAGGAAAAGGCTAATTATTGGCCTAAATGCCGCGATTGGGGTGCGTTTACACTAGCATAATTTTATTACCTCGACGGTTAGTAAGATCTTATTACCTCGACGGTTATTGAATTGGAAAGAAGTCCATTTCACCCTTGGCTTTTCCTTGTCGACTGACGATGGCAACACATCAAATTATCCGTCTACCAGAGCATCCTAAAATTTAACTCATAAAATTCTTGGATTGGGACCATCCCAAAAGAAATTGGGCCCAAAAATCACTTTCTACTACAAGAGTGCCCATAAATTTGGTTTTCAATAACTTTAAAATATGCCACATCATCTCAAGTAGATCCTGCTTCAACCGTTTATGTCTTTCCATTTTTCCGGTAAGAGGGAGATTGGCGCTGGGAATTGCCAACCAATCACGCACTAGCGGCTCAGCTATGCTGTGCAGTAGGGTGATCTTTCGCGTGCCTAGCAGCTACGGCAGCCCACGGCGAGGGCGTCGGCAAGTCTGCAAGGCACATCGAGGAGGCAGGTAGGGCCACTCCAGGGTTCATCCATCTCGTCATAACGCGTGACAAGGGAAGAAAAGGCGTGAGCGGCAAAAACCTCCCGTGATTTCATCAATTGGGAGTGCGTGGAGGTGTCCAAAATTGGTTCAGATTGATTCTAGTTTTAGGTGTAGGTAAATAGTGGGACCATCTTTGGGCATCTCTTGGAGAGATGGTTTTAGACTGGATTCCTAAAATTTATCTTTTAGACTAGATTCCTAAAAGAGTATCTCCATTTTTTAGGCGTGTCACATCAGGTATTATATAGGGTGTCGCATGGGGTGTTCGGCATTAATAAAATAATAATTACAGAATCCGTTAGTAAACCGCGAGACGAATTTATTCAGCCTAATTAATCCGTAATTAGCAAATGTTTACTGTAACGCCACATTGTCGAATCATGGAGCAATTAGGCTTAAAAGATTTGTCTTGCAAAGTAGTCGCAATATGTGCAATTAGTTATTTTTTAGCCTATATTTAATACTTCATGCATGTGTTCAAACGTTAGATGTGACAGGGTGAAAAATTTTTGGGTGGGATCTAAACAGGGCCTTAAACACAATCCTAAGTCCCCAAACAATTCTGAGGGGTTAAAGCTAAAAACAAGTTATAGCAAACACCTACAATGAGAGCAAAATTAAAAAGTCCTCCGTCGGTATCCCTGCACCACCGGTCCTTCTCTAGCTAGCTATTTCTACACCATCCACCCTCCCCACCCTCTCAAACCTCTACCACACCTTGCAAACTCCAATACCACTGTTTGTGCAGACCTTAGCGGATGAAGAGTGCAACAATGCCATCTTCGGCTGCCTCCCGAGCTAAGCACCTCCACCATTCTCTCTGTCCTCCTTCATGTCCCTTGCACCGATTAGGCTGTGTTGCGCCGTAGGCCCTAGTTTAAGGCAGGGTTGAAATAGAATAGAACAAAATAGTTCTAATAAATGAGAGTAGTGCTGAAGTTTGAGGCATTATTCCTTAGGAAATTGGATAACCCCTATTTAGTTTTTAGGAGCTCTAAACTATGGGCTATTGCTAGGGATGTTCTAATATGGTTGGAAATCTTTATAAGGGTTGGAAGTGTTCCAAATACTTTTTCCTCATGGCATGCTTTTGGGTCGCAATCTCTTGTTACGAACCTTCGGCACTCGGTGCTCGAGCTATTGCTTAGCTGCAGTAAGCAAACACAACTGCTCTTTACTTTGTAGATACATGTGCTTGCCTGTAGCGATGACGTGGCGAGAATTACAGACACCAGTGAGGAAGAACAACGACTATGTTTGCTTGAGGGGTTGAAGTTGACCTAATAGTTTAAACTCAATATCGATCCAAAGTGTAACAGAATACAAAGATTTATGATATTGAGTGAAAATATTGAGCTTGATCTAATGTACTTTTAAACTTTGAGCAAAGTGATAGTGGGCATGTTCGACTTAGATTGCTCTAGTAGCAGTGGTTGCTGTAAAACACGTATGCTGCTATCGTGCAGCTGTAATCAAGTGGTACCGAACAATAGTCTAATGTAAAGTTTTACTCCATAATATAATAATGTATTTATTGATACCGTCATTTTTTTCTATTTAGACTAAATTGTACTCACGATACACCAACTTAACATGTGGATGCAAATTTAGTTATTTTGAGCATCTTTTTATATACATTTAGTTTGTAAGTGTTTATTTTGTCAATGTACTTGTACAAATATGTAAAAGTATATATTTTTTTCAATCTAATCACTAAAAGTCAATTAAATTTTACTATGTAAAAAATGTATATCTCAGATAAGATTTGAGAAGGTTTTTAAAAAAATCCTGACCGCTGGTGTAAATTGAATGAGGAACGCAATTCTTATATGTTAAATCCAAGATTTTAAAGTAATATTCGCACGATTGCTATATGATATCATATTGGCATCGTAAGAAAAACTCATCTAGCACCCGTGGACTAAAATAGCACATATTGAGCTAAGTTATTGTATCAAAATACTAGTTTGATAAGTTCTTATACTAGAACGCATCCACATTACCAGGTTGTTTCCCTTCGACGTTCAATTCTCAAGTTCTTAACTAAATTGTTGCATCATTTTTTAAAGAGTAAATTATATGTTGGGTTCTTACCTAAGTTTCACCATGAACCAGGTGTCAGCACACATTTTCATTTAGGACTAGTCATTATTACCAAAACTTTCAATTTGAACTAGAGGACCACCTGCCATCAAGACAAGTTGTCTCGAGGAGGAGGAGGAGAGGAGAGGAGATTGAGATAACTTGGAAGTGATTTATTAACGTGAATATAATTTACTCTTTTATTCCAGTGATCGAGGCTATGCTTTCATAACTTATCTTCTCATTTTTTACGTGCATGCTTTCCAAACTACTGAACGACGTGTTTTTGCAAAAGTTTTTTAATACGAAAGTTGCTTTAAAAATCATATTAACTCATTTTTTTAATAATTTAAACTAATATTATATTAGTTATACGGTAACGAGTGTTTCGTCGTATGTGCTGGACATCCCGAACACAGCCTATGAGAGTTGCTAGCTTGCTATACGCTCTCTGGTCTATGCTGCTCTGCCTGTCTTGCTCGTCCTCTGCCGCGGAGACACTTGCTCCCTCTGTTCTGATTTTGACATCTTGCTTGTAATATTTTACCACTCGTCTTATTTTAAATAAATATATAAATATAAAAAACGAAAAGTTATGCTTAAAGTACTTTTAATAATAAAGTAAGTAAAAAATAATTCTAAATTTTTTTAATAAGACGAGTGGTCAAACAGTAAAATGTCAAAATCCCTAATAACTTATACTTTCTCTGTTTTATATTATAAGCCTTTATAGCATTACCCACGTTCATATATATATGTTAATGAATCTAAACATATATGCGTACCTAGATTCATTAATATATATATATACATATACATATATATATACATATATATATACATATACATATATATATATATATACATATATATATATATATGTATATATATACATATGTATATATATATATATATATATATGTATATGTATATATATATGTATATATATATGTATATGTATATGTGAGAATGTGAAGGATGCTGGGAAGTTTTATAACCTGAAACGGAGGTAGTATTAGTGACGGAGGGAGCATAATAGATAAACTCGTTGTCGTCGTCCCGTGCGGTGCGGCCCCCGCTACCCGCCGCGCGATGCCCCCTCTTCTCCGCCCGCCTGATCTAGGGTTTTACTGGAGCCGCCGCGCGCAGCGACCAGCCGACCACGGACGAGGACGAGGGGATCAGGTGAGCCCGCCGCCACTCTCTCCCCCACCCCTCCGAACCCGTTCAATTCAGCTCCCCGCGGATGTGATCTTGGTTAGGGGCTAGGGTTGGGTCGGTTAACGAAGATCGGTTCCGCGTCTCATCGTGGCGTGTGTCTTCGCGTGTGTGTGTTGGGTTGGGGGGAGTCCGCGCATGCGTTGTGTGGGTTTTTTTTTTTCAATGCTGGATGCGATTGAAATTGAGCAGAATGCCCAGTTTACTCATTCAGACCGAATGAGCTTCATTTACTCATTCATCTAGTGTTGGTGTTGGAAGTTTTGAAGACCTGAGTATGCGGTGGCTATATAATGTTTTTGTTGCAGATCAGTTAGCTTTGCTGGTTGGACAAATCGAGTCCTAGATATCTTGGATTTTTCTTTTTTCCATAGCAGAAGGTTGTGGGTAAAGGTGGTGCAAGACAACATGGAATATAAAAGGCCATTGTATTCATGCTGGCTGAATAAATACTAGTTTCTCGCACACATTATCCAATGGACTCTGTTTTTTCATTGTGCATAGGCGAAGGGGGTTATGTTGTTTAAATAAAGCATTAGGGCACCATTATATTTCCATATGCACGGACTATTTCTCATTATATATTCTATAATTGACACTGAACCAGTAGGGTCTGAAAAGGTCATATAAGCTTAGCTGTGAGTAGCTCAGATATTCTTTTCCTATTTATTTTGGCTGAACAAATTTAACAATTTTAGCTAATATTCGTTTCAATATATCTTAGATGCAAAAAAAAGATATGCCTTGATGCAAAATTTAGTCGCTTTTGCTTGCATCGTGTAGATTTATTGCTATTGTGCCCCTATGCTCTGGCCTCCAGGCTTACTCACGACAGGTGATGGAACTACCAACATCTGTAGCTTTCCACCCATGCAGTCTTGTGCCAGGCTGGTTGCATGCTTTAGCTGTTTTGCATGTGTCGTCTGTCCTATTTTTGTTTTCTTGATGTCAGTTGACCAATGGAAAATCTTATGAGTATAGGATTAAACAATGGTCTAAAAGTCGGTGCTAGGTACTGGGTAGCCACTGTAATTTGGTGCTTCCCTGCCTTGGGGGCTCTATATTGCTATGTAATGTTATATTGTCTTCTTTCATGTCATATGCTTCCCAACTGCTTGAAACTCCATAGTCAAGTTTGTTCTAGGCTGTAGGCACCGCCTAGTTGACATCTAGGTGCTAGGTGCCAGCCTTGCTGACCCTCTAGCGCCTAGCGGCTTCTTGAACCAATAGTATTAAAGTGAATAAGTGTTTTAGCATTTGTTTTGGAAGATATAGCTTTACTACGGGGTATGAATACCATTATCCCAAAGAGTTGATTGCATTTTTCAAATTTTTTTAGATGATTGATCCGTAATTTTCCTGGTTGATCATGATATTCTTTACATTGCACATGCCATGATATAGATTTGAATGTTCCCAACCAATTAGTTAATTGCACTGCCATCCTGTCCTATGAGAAGTTGAAAATACTGGCTGTATATGACTAATAAGCACTTGATTGAGTTCTTCCCTCTGTTATTTCCTTTGGTATGTCTTAGAGGTAGATCTATAGGGTGCTTTTATGCTATTCTCATATCACCAAACCAAAAATTCTGCGCATTCTTACTGGATAACACTAAACAGATAACATGTCAACCACTTTTGCAGAGAAAATTATGTCTGTGACACGAGCAAGCATTAAAAGTATCACATGTACTTTTGCTGTAGTTGATATATGACGGAACTAACCTTTTAATTGTTCTGATTAGATATGCAATTGGGGGCAGCAAGCTAGAGGTGGCAACTGCATAATTTGCAAGAAATTGTAAGTTCTCTTGGAAAAGTCTGAAATGACATGTATTCATAATTTTATTGATCCTTTAGTTCTTTCTAGATGGAACCCACTTAGCGTGATTATTGCTATAAAGAAGCCACCACATGAAGCGACATCGTCAAGTTTTCACACAGATGGTCCCTAAATGTGTAATTTCTTCCCGCACAAACCATTTTCTTGCTCTAGGATTAGGAACTTTTCTGTGAGACGACTGTCAATCCACATATCGCAACCACAGTGCACATATCGATGCCCCACATCAATGCGCAAAGATTTATCTAGTTACAGCATCAGTACAAACCACCATACACGCATACCAGTGAGGCAACCAAAATCAAATATATGTTTTAGGCATTAATCTTATTGGTTGGAACTATTTTTCTTGTTCATTCTTGTTGACGTACATGGTTCTAGTTGCTGTAGCTATATAATAACTTAGCTGTTGGTAAAATAATGTTCTTGTGACTTGTGAGAGGTGATTATTCAATGGCAGCCTTGATTCCAGGATCTGTTACGAACACCAAATTTTGAGCTAAGCGCATAAGCAACTTTTCTCGTATTTAAACTGCACTTGAAAGAGGAACCCTTTTAAGTTAATACTCCCCCGGTCAAAAGTATTTGTCGTTTAGGACAAGATTTGGTCAAAATTTTAAAATTCCAACAACCAATTTTATGTTAGAATAAATGTATAAAATCTAATAAGTTTATGATATTACAATAGTACTTTTCGAGGCAAATTTATGTATATAATTTCTTTTATTTTTAAACTAAGCATTTAAGAAACCAATGATGGTTGGAATTTTCAAAGTTTGATCAAATCTTGGTCTAAACAACAAATATTTTGACCAGAGGTAGTATTAACGTTAAAAAATTAATATGAAGTAGCTTCATGGTACTTGGAAACAGAATATAGAATGTAAGTTCTATATGTTTTCTATAGGGACTATCTATATTTATGGCACCATATGAAAAAAATAGTTAAATGTTTTAGCATGTACTATTTACACCGTAAATTCCATATCTTGGTCCATATATTTACACTGTAAATTACAACTTACACTGTAACTTAAAACTTACACAGTAATTTTCTCTAATACTTACATATATACAATAACTAGAAAGTACTAGTGCAAACTTACATTAAAAGGTGATGGATCCAAAACAAGTAGCAAAAGGGCACCAATTTCAATCATCCAGATGCATGGTGAACCTAAGCTGCATGTGAACCTAATCATATTGGCATGAACGTCCAGATGCATGGTGCCATAGGCTCAAGGCAAAAACGAGCGGTAGAACTACGACTGAAAACAGACCAAAACAGAAATATAGCAAAATCGTTTTCTATATATTTATTCTCCATATGTAAGATCATTGGGGGTGCCAAGTTACCCACTATCCCAATTCCGCATCCTTGGTCACGTGGGTGGCTCATTTGTGAACTTCTAATGTATCACTGGATATTATTCTGCTGTTTAGCATTTTAGATCATCGGCAATTTCCTTATATTCCAAGCAGCTTCATTGCATTTCAAAAGTAACCACATGCATCTACCAAGTTCAAATCAATACAAGATCAAGTGCCTATGTTTGGCGCGATACAAATAAGTGCTGTGCACTCTCTGCCCTGCATTATTTTGAACCACAAGAACTACATAGTCTTCAGAACAGCAGAATACATGACATAAACTCTGTTCTGGTTGAATGGGTTCCCAGCAACTTGAACAAAAAACTGAACTAAACTGATAAATTGTTCATGCAGAAAATATTGCATGGGTAATGCTTTGAAGTTTAGCTTCGAGGTTTTATAGTGACACCAAAGAAAATATGCCATTAGTCACTTAATCTTAGCGTTTGCCATCCTCACTTGGGCTGAAGTCTGCTGCAATTTGAATAAACTTTTAACAATGTGTTGTAATGTGTGTCTTGGTATCTGAATTTAAAATAACAAGAACTCACCCTGGATTTGGTGTTCCTGACTACTCCTTTTCTACATTCTCTGGCAGACTTAGCTCAAGATTAGGGCCAATTTCATTATCTGTAATCAGAAAGCTGTGCTGGATGGTAGAACCTGTTGGATGCCCATTACTCTTTGTCTTATATACCTGCTAAAATAAATAAAAAAAATGACATTTTGTAATTTGCATACACCAGAAAAGTGAATTGAGAAAATATCACTTGTAGAATCTGCATCATTGTTTGGCAAAATGTTTCTGCATGCCTCAACCTTTTTCTGTAAATTGATGTTTTCTTGATGGACAAGGCTGACTTTCTTGTGTAGTTCCATGTTTTCCTGATGTATGAGGCTTCCCTACAATTCAGTGAGAAGTTTGTGCAGTGTCAAGCAAATTATCTCACTCCAATAAGATTTGGACCAAGTAGACTAGTGTACATAAGTAATGTTGAGTGAATGTGCTAAGTGGTAACAACCTTCCTGCTTAATTCTTGAATTTGATCCATCATGACATTGTCCTGTAAAGTGAATGTTAGTCAAAGTAGTTATTGATATTATGTCAAGGAAGAATTAGAAGTGGATGGACTGTTAACAAATTGTAATTTAACCTTCCTCAGACGGATATTTTTTAAGCTCATCTCCAGCTTACTTTCCAAATTTTGCAAGTCTTCTACATCCAGACCAGAAAGCTGTTGTCCCAACAACTGTCTGCAATATCACGTCATGCACAGTCATTATTTGAATGCTACTCCCTTCATCCTAAAATAAACCAACTTCTAGAGTTCAAACTTTGTCCCAAAATAAATCAGTTCCTACCTTCTTACCTACCAGCGATTCTCAAATTGAGAAATTTTATCCCTTCAATACCCTTTACCTACCCAATGACCAACTCATTTACCTCCACATTGGGATGCTAGGAGCTTTTTTTTTTTTTTTTTTTTTTTGGGGGGGGGGGGGGGTGGGGGGGAGCACAGGGAGTAAATGTTATCGCACTTGTTATAAACCTTTTGTTCAATTTTTAGTTTTTTACACGCACACTGTTTTTAATGTCGTTAGATGCAAATATTCATATACCTGAATTTAGACCTAGAAATTAAATTGCTATGACCAAAAACCCAAATGTCCTGGCACCTGCTACCATGATGCTGAGAAACGTATATATAGTTTATAAGATGCTTCTTAGTTTATCTTTGCAGAATCTGATTATCAAATCATACAGGTTAACTGAACTAACCATATTATCTAAAATTCTGTGTGCAAGGACACCACTTTAATCAAGTGAAATGGACAATATCATTGCTTTTCACTCCAGTATTTTGTAAGGTTGTTTGTCCAAATATTGTATGCTAGCAACACCACTAATTTGGCCATCAAGGCATCAACTATCTATGGTGACAAGTTTAGAATTAAGCATGTACTAGGAGTATTACTAAATGGGGAGAAGCATCAAACATATATAACTTATGTCAGTATCTCAAGTGATCTATTCAGCTCCTGATTATCAAATAATACAGGTTAACTGAACTAACACGTTATATTCAATTTCGTCTGTAAGGACACCCACTTTAATCAAGTAAGAAATGGGAACAGATAATTGCTTATTAGTGTGTTTGAAGGTTGTTTATCCAATACCATATGTTAACAGTGCCACTAATTAACCATTTGCTATCTTGAGTGATAGGAAAGGCAAAGCATGTCCTAAGGGTGTTACTATCAGTGATTATGGAACAACTAGTGCAACTTGAGTTTCTTTGTTTTTATTGCTTGACTTGAGGACATTATATAAGTCTCGGTCTGTATACCTGAAGACACGACCGAAACCTCCAAATTTCGTTTTTGGTAATATTGGTCTTATATGGTGCATAGCACAGTAGATGCCTAGAGAGCCATAATGTATAGTTATAGTTCATGGTTACACTGATAGTTGTTTCATAGTGAAACCATGTACTCCCCTCTTTCAAAATATAAGGCTTATTTTGAGTGGGCACAAGAATTGGGAAGAGTATAAAACCAAGAGAAAGTGGAGTTAAATATGAACATACACTCAAATATCTCAGGAATAGGGAGAACATGAGTAGTGAGATGGGAATAATACGGAGACAATTTATTTTTTTTAATGTTCTGTTTAATTTTTGGTACCTAAAACTTGTTTAATGGTTCTCAAGTGAATCATATGCACTAGCATACTAGAAAACAATGAAAGACACAGTCCTCATTATTTATTTACTTTTATCAATTTATCAATTATTCAAATTCATAGAACTCATGCACATTTATGATTTATTGTAGGTTGGCTGAAGATCATACCGATGATATTCTTGCAAGTTATGCAGTTGCTGCCTCAAGCTTGCTGCCTCCTGTTGCCAAAGCTAGTAAAATGAAAACATTAAATTAGTATAGCTGGACGGTTTTTCTTGCAGCCTTATGTTCTTCTCTTCAGCTCATGAATTTCTATTTATCATAGGTAGAAAGTGGCAACAACATTAGTATGAGCTTTCCAGTCAAAAAAAAAAAACACATTAGTATGAGCTAGCAACACTTTTGAGTTTACATGTTCTGAAAATGCATAAGGATTTCAGATTAGTGAAATTAAGTATTCTCTAGTCAAATATATTGGACGTTGGGAGGACAAAACTTAGCTCTCCCAACATCAATTATATTTGACTGGAGGGAGTATTTGGGTTTTTATTTTTTAAATTTCTGGTGGTACATGTTTGAATCGTCAAACCGGTAGTGGTTCCTTTGACATCATTTGTCATCCTTCTTTAATTAACTAGAATATTCATCTTATGAACTACTCTGATAATATTCTTCTTAATTACATCAATTTTTTTTCTTTTCCATCTTTTGTGATGAGAACCAGGGTTTACGATTCCGACGAAATCCGGTTGGATTTCGCGAAATTTCGATATTCCGACGAGGTTCGAAAGTAGAAACCGTCTGAGATTTCGAGAAGTTTCATCCAAATTCAAATTTGAATTGATAAAAAAAAGAGAAAAACAAATAAAATCTTATAAATACTATGATATTCATAGAACCTATTGGGATATAAATATTCAAAAAAAAATGTATTGTGTGTATTTACTGAAACTTATATCAGGAAAGAAAAAAAATAAAGAATTAAAAAAAAGAAAAACACTTACATGGGTCGGATTGCATGTACTAGGCCTAGTTAGTAGTTGGTCCAAATTACAGATTACAGATCGAAATTTTGATGATTTCGATCGGAATTTTGCCAAAACGACTGGTTTTCAAGAACTTGTCAACAAACTTAGGGAATTTGTATTCAAATTTTGGTTTATGAAATTTGTTCGGAATATACCGGTTTTCCACCGGATTTCGCGAAATTCTGAATTCCGCCAGTGCCCGAAATGGAAGGGCTTGTCGGAATCGTAAATCGTAAACCCTGATGAGAACTATTCTTTTCAAGCTTTCTTGTTGGGTGCTTGTATTCACTTGCTATTTTCAGCTATTTCACAAAAGCATACAAAAATACTCCCACTTCTCTATGGAATGAATTAAGATGATAGAACACGGAAATCTTTGCACAGTAAATTAAATAAAACATTGAGTGGGGGTTGAAGTAGCAGAAAACCCCCCGTGTTATGGCTTGTGAATTGTTGGCCTTGTGGCCATAATCTTCGATTTTATGGTTAAAGTTTTGACAAAACCCTAATCCATCCAAACCCTAAGTCTCATGGGGGCCAAGGTACCACTTTATGATAAATATTTTGCAGTGATCCAAACCATCCTTTTGTTTTCCTTTGTTTTTTTTAATTGTACATTGTTTCTTAATAATAGTATAGAATCAAGTTTAAAATGTCCAATAGTAACTTGTAATTGGCAGGGTTTACGATTACGACAGACCCTTTCGTTTCGGGCACTGGCGGAATTCAGAATTTCGCGAAATCAGGTGGAAAACCGGTAAATTCCGAACAAATTTCATAAACCAAAATTTGAATACAAATTCCCTGAGTTTGTTGACAAGTTCTCGAAAACCGGTCGGTTTTGGCAAAATTCCGATCGAAATCATCGAAATTTCGATCTGTAATCTGTAATTTGGACCAACTACTAACTGGGCCTAGTACATGCAATCTGGCCCATGTAAGTGTTTTCCTTTTTTTAATTCTTTATTCTTTTCTTTCCTGATGTAAGTTTAAGTAAATACACACAATACATCATTTTTTTTTGAATATTTATATCCCAATAGGTTCTATGAATATCATAGTATTTATAGGATTTTATTTGTTTTTTTCTTTTTTTATCAATTCAAATTTGAATTTGGATCAAAGTCCTCGAAATCTTAGACGGTTTCTACTTTCGAGCCTCGTCGGAATGTCGAAATTTTGTGAAATCCGATTTTATTTCGTTGGAATCGTAAACCCTGGTGATAGTAACAATCTTAGGTTGAGATCAACATATCCAATCCAACAATTGTAACCTACTTGGTACATATGCTCCATAACAGTAACTGCAATGAGTTAAGAAAAAAAGGTCACTGGAACGTGTTGGTTCTCTACCCTACCAATTCAATGGTAGTGCCAAAATCTAGGTAAATTTTGACACTACCAATTATTTGGTAGGGTAGAATTCATATAATGTGTTTGGTTTGGTACCATTTGCTACCAATATGCTTGTTATAGTGAAGAAAGTTCTAGAATGCTACCAAATTAGCTATGGGTATTGCCAATACTTTGGCTCTAATCCAAACCAATCAAACTACTATTTGAACTGCCAAACAATTGGTAGGGCACATTTTGGCATCGATCCAAAATGGCCCATTTTGGATTGAAGCCAAAACATGACCTTACCAATCTATTGGTATCTTGAAGATATTGTATGGTTGGATTAAAGCCAAATCATTGGTAATGCCCATTAACAATTTGGCACTAATCTAGAACTTTCTTCTCTATATCATCAATATTTGGCTTTATATTGGTAGCAATTCAAATATGTACCATGCATCTCTACCCTACCAAAGAATTGGTAGTGCCAAAACATGCCAAAAATTTGGCACTAGCAAAGATTTGGTAGGGTAAAGAACCAAACAGCTTTTGTTTCAGTCAGAAAGTTAAGTGGGGCAAAAAGATTGCCCAAAATATTATGAAATACCTCTCGATATACCTTTGATTTCACAATATGTTGTATTAATTTATGTTTTACAGGCATACAACAGATCCAACTTTCAATGACATGTTTATTGTTTAGTTTAGCTACAATAATTGTTGGGTAGTTGTAGAGCAGCACATGGTACTTATGCCACAAGCCCGCAAATAAAATAATTCGCATTTGCTCATCCTAATTCATGCTAGCATCTCTATTGCAGAACAATTTTGATACTATTTTTTTTTTAAAATTAGCCTTGAAAATGCCACTTCCCCTAAGGAATGACAAATGCATTTTTTTTTACAAATGCAAAAACTTGCAGGTAGACACATATTTGGCAGGTGAATTCGTGTCATATGGACATATCTTTCATTGGAAGATATGTCCATATGTTGGAGCTATTTCACCAGTTCTTTCATTGGAATAATGTTAGCATTTAATCAGTGATATAGGAGATGATTCACCTTCAACAAGCTCTCATTTATCATCATGACGAGTCAGAAGAATCCGATTGTCAAGTTACGCCTTCTACCATATACTCCCCACCAAAAACAGCTACCACTGGTAAATAAATTGCTTTCTGTTCTAATTGGTGCCTGAATTTCTGTATGCTAGATCTGATTGTTTGTTGCTTTCCTGGTATTGTGTAGTTTTTAGTTATGATGTACATAATCCTAAGTTAATCCAGAAATTAATTTTTGAGTTCTTTCTGGAGTTTATTCAGTAGTTTATAGGTTGTGACCACCAGTGTCCTTTTATGGCTGAATACAACTCAAAGAATCTTCATGTTGGAGTTGGATTCACTTTGGCAGTTCATACAGTGGATGCTGATAGATGCGCTCGATTATTCCTGTCGATAGCATCCTAGTATTGTGTCTTTATATAGCTATATCTAGCATTTTCATGTAAAAGCTATCTGTTCTGTGGATGGGTGCTCTTATTGGTTGCAGCAATCAGGATAATCAGCTAAAATAATGATATATTGCAGCCTTGTCAGCCTTTATTATATACTGGGTTCCCTAAATTGTCATCTAGTCATTAGTGCCAAAGTGCATGTAGTCTTCTCTGATCGTTATTTATAACTTTATATGCCAATGGATGTTACAGACAACGTAGTGTATGTCAATCTATCTGGCGTTTTATTTATCAGAATACTAGAAGAGAATTTGCACCAGTGGTTCAAGTAAATCCCTGAACATTGAAACTAGATAGTTTGGGCTTTTTGGCCCCTAATCTTGTTTGATTGATACAAACAAGTCAACGGGTCACAAGTGCTTTTGACTGACAGACTACATCCGTTTCTCTCCTCTCATCTTCACTCTTCCCCATCGAATTCTCCTCTCATCTTCTTCACTCTTCCCCATCTTTGACCAAATTAGCCGCATCCTATGCCTGGTGGAATATTCTGACACAACATAGCAGTGTGGCTTGTTTCAGCAGAAAATTATTTGACAGGCGTTGATTGCAAAGCTGTCACAGCTGCACCCATCTGATCAGATATAGGTAAACTGAGATGTGGTTCTCAGCCAGTGGGAATGATGTACAACCACGTTGTCATTCAGGGGAACTAAAAACCATCTACTCCTGTTTTTAGCAACTCACATACAGTACAGATACCTAGAATCAACAGATATCCCTACTTTAACCACTTTAAACAAGTCTGAGGACATATATTCCTAGTATCAATGTTCATACACTTGAACCAGTAATGCAAGGTTCAGGACATACAATGCAATTTACTCTTGTTTTCTTTTATAGTTCATTTGTCCTCATTTTGGTCCCTGATTTAAGTTGGACATTCTTATCTCACTAGACGGTTGGGTAAGTAATGTTAGGGGTCAAAATATAGTGGAGTTATGCTATCCAATCTTGAAAGCAATGTAGAGCTTTGATCTGTTACTATCCAGTACTACAGTGAACAGCTAGACTTGGAGCTAGTGATTTACTCCCTTATTGGATACGGATATTGAAGTAGATATGGGCTGGATGCCTATACTATGTAAATTCACCCATTGACGGTTCATTGGCTCAGTCAGATAGAGAACATGCCTGCTTAACTGAATTAGTGAAAGCAAGTCAAATAACTAAGTGGCAACTCTTATCAGCAAAACTAATTTGTGATTATGATCTGTGGCTTGTTTATTTCAACCATTTCTTTTATATGAATTGCGTGTAACTCAGAATTTCATGTGAATACTGAGTAACTAGCACATCTATTTTGATTTGGGCCCAATTTTTCAACTGGCAAGAAAGAATTGGAGTACAAGATCAAAGGGTGGGAGTAACTCTTAGTCTTAGGCATCGGGATTGGGCAGGATTTGTTGTGCACCTAATTTTCTTTCATTTCTCGTACTTGAACTTGTTTGTGCATATAAGTATGTGATCATCCAACTATTTCTAAGAGGAAATTAGCCACAAGCAACAAATAGGAAGTTTTTATATTCATACCTTTGCCTCAGAACTTGCGTTCATGGTTTGATGGGGATCTTCTTTCGTCTCATTGTATCTCTCAATTATGGATTTCATGCTGGTTGAAAAAAAAAATCAAGATCCCATTAGAACACATGTCAACACATGCCACAGTAGTGTTGAATGCTATCATATAGCTCCTGCAAGCTTATTTTGTAGTACATGGGCATCAGTATGTAAGATGACAAATGCAAACTTTTAATGAAGGCCTAGTTCTTTGACAAGTAATCCACGTGGATAGATAACTGTAAGGTCAACACAAAGAATTAAGTGTGGAGTGTTTTGAGTTAATTGGTTCTTACTGCTTAATTTCCTGTTATCTTAAAACTTCCTGTTATCTTAAAACTAGACACTGTTCTCCTAATTTGTCATCCTTTTCCTATTTAGTTTGTTGTTTTCTACGAATCTTGAGCTATTTGTATGGAGAAAAAGCAGTGACAATGGTAAAAGATGGTTTTGAAGGCACTACAAGACATGCCTCAAGTTATAACCGTGCTGTTACGAGGATCCAAGCATCCAAAACACTTGGAAGATTAAGCTTCAGGCGTTGTCAACATAATGCATAATTAGTTGCATACTTCAGTGGATGATTGAACGGGATGTTTGGATATGCAAATATTTCTATGCATCCGGACTGAATACTTTCTGAACACAAAGCAAGCCAACCTGCCATGGCCATGACACGATGGTTCTATCCATATTTTCCTATTTGTCATGTACGGCTGGGCTGGGCCTAGCACCAAAACTATTCGTTGTTGTTTATTATTATTAGGTAATTAGGTTATTCGTAGATCATGGTTGTTTATTTTATTATGAACATTTTGATAACATTTTTTTTAAAAAATTAAAGCCTTTATTTTTCCGATCATGTGGAGGACGCACACTGATATATACGTATATCACACGTTATATAAGAAACGTGCTTGAACACACGGGCAAGAGATAGATACTATATAGGAGTAGCGATGAATCCATAACTTCACTAAATTAAACGTGCACCCATATGTGAGTAATCATGAGCATCAAGATTTAAATTCTATCAGAGTTGCTCGCCCACCCCCTTTCAAGAAAAATCCATTAATTAATCTTGTTACATAGGAGTATCGTTGTGAATAGCATGGCAAACAATACAGTTGTCTCCTGATATGTCCTAGCTCCTTGTATAGATTCGTTGGATAATGTGTCCCGGATAATGTGTCCCATCCAGTTTCAAATTGCTATATTTTGAGACAAAAGGAGTAACTTTTTTTCCCCTTTGGATTTACTTTGAAACCTATTTTTAAGTTTCAGAAAACAACGTATCTATAGATGATACATAATATCTTACTATATGTAGTTTAATAAGCCAGGATGAACAATGTAGAATTAATCATATTCTTTTGTACGATAACATAATAGACTTCGACAATTGTTGAGGGACATAAAGTAAAGATCTTGATAAAGCTGTTGTCCTAGCTACATGTATCTCTCTACCACCAGGTTGATTCATTGAGTAGCTAGTGAGGGAGGAAGAAAAAAAAAACAAGCGTTCTTTCATTTCATTCTCATTCACCAAGAGATGGAAATTTTGAATATTGTACGAATCCTTATACATTGTAGTTAACGACAAGTCCATTATCGCACTAAATTCAATTTGAAAGTACTGAGAATAGTGATAAATCTTTGATCATATTTCTATTAAAAACACACGTATATTACACATGTGTAATATTATTGGACATCAGAATTTAAATCCTATCATACAAAGACATGCACCTAGCTATGACTCAATCTTATCTATGATAGTTTCCATTGATTTTGAGGAAATTTTAGCACGTTCTGTTTGAGGATTCTCCTCATTCAAGGGTTGGAATGGTCTATTGATCGCGCAGAACCATCCAAAAATTACTTAAATCAAACCAGTAAAGTCGATTTCAGAGTAAGAATCTAAGTGGTCCAATCACCGTACAGATCTCTCCAAAGCAAACGCATCATGTACCAAGTTGGTACGAGGTATCTCTGCTACTTGCACATCATCACTGCCCTAAACTAAAGTCAACCAAAGCGTTCTAACTTCCAAGACATGCTTAACCCCGTAATTAGCAGATCTAATTAGGAGCTTAGATCCTAATTAAGCTAACTAATGTGGGAGTGAAGCAAAGAAAAAAAACAAATACCTGGAGCTGGCAAAGTCATAGAGACGGCTGGTGCTGGAGAAGACGAGGAGGCCGACCTCGGCATCGCAGAGGATGGAGAGCTCCCTCGCCTTCTTGAACAGCCCGCTCCGCCGCTTCGAGAATGTCACCTGTCGGCTCGTCGCGTTGTCGATCCTCTTTATCTCTATCTTCCCTCTCCCCATCTTCCCCTTCGATCTCCTCCTCCTTTTCCCTCTTACAGATCTACGCAGAAATAACAATTAGCAGCAGCAACAACCTCGGCTATCTTTCAAGCCAAGCTCTCTATCTATCTCTAATCTTGTGCTAATCTCCTTAGAGTGCTCTTTACAGGTAGCTCTATTTCTCTAATCAAGGCTGGTTAGCTAGCTAGGTAGCTAGCCCTGATGCACTACAACTTCTTCCTTAAGAAAGTATTCCAAGAGAGGACATAAAATAAAAAAAATATATAGTTAAACAAGTACAGGGCGCGTTTGGAGGCTGCACGATGCAGGCAGGGTCTTCCAGGATCAATCAATTAATCCCTTTTTTAGCTTTCGTCTACCTCGTCCTCATTTGTTAATGTGCCATGATAAACATATCAAAACCTTCATCGTATCGATGGCCGACGCGTGCATGAGAGGATGCCCCATCATAATGCTGCAAATTAATTGATTAATTCAGCTGTGTTTGTCGTAAGCTATAGGTTAGCTTCTAATTTAATTAGGTTGCTAGCTAATGCGGTTTCCTTTATTGTTTTTCTGAGTTTCGTTTTTGGAAAGGAAGGTGTGATGACTGACGAGGTTCATGAAGATGTGGAATAATTAGCTAAGTAAAGCAAATCTTCATGATACTCTGTCACCCTAATTAGTCTTGCTGGCTAATTAACTAGCTGGCCCTGCCTGCCCTTTTTTGCAAAGCTTATGGACTCATGAGTTGGCTGTCTTCACTGGTGGAGAAACCATCTTTCGTCGGTCGGCCGATTTCCACAGTAGTCCCGGATGCAATAAAAACCGGGGCTAAAGATGTTCTTTAGTCCCGGTTCAAAAGGGTAACGGGCATATTTGATCTTTAGTCCCGGTTTGTATTACCAACCGGGACTAAAGATGATCTTTAGTCCCGGTTCGAATGCTGTCAGGGTCTGTCAGGCCCTCCCGGTATCTTTAGTCCCGGTTGATAACACCAACCGGGACTAAAGATGCTAACTTTAGTCCCGGTTGGTAATACCAACCGGGACTAAAGATCCCGGTGATCTTTAGCCCCGGTTTGTGCTACCAACCGGGACTAAAGTCCCACCCCTATATATATGTCTTCTTCCTCCTCCAGCTGCCCGAGCAAGCTTCAAAATTTCTTCAAAAAAGAGGGGAGGTCATGCCAAAATTTCTATTGAATTTATTTTGGTGATTACATACAAATCGGAGGTGCCTAAAAGGTTTGCAACTTCATCCTCCAATGTTTTTTTTTGTCATACTACATTTGCACCTATGTTTTGCACACTTTTTTTGTCTCCAAAATGTAGTTGTAAGTTGATGAGAGAGAAAATGTGTGTGGGGAAGAAAGAATATATAGAAATTTAGTTCATTTGCTAAACAAGGTTTTATAAAATAGTTGAGAAGGAAAACTCTAGTGAAAGTTAATCTTAAATAATAGAAAACAAACTAAAATGAAAATTAAAAGAAGTAAAACACATTAAAATTAGTTTATTACTTAACAAATAGTTTTTAAGAATTATTTGGTGTAATATTTTATGATTTTTGTATGAATAAAGATATCTTATAATTATTGTATGACTGTCATTATTGTAAGAATAATTATTTGTGTACGGTTTTTTTGACTCATGTAGATGGATCGGCAATGGATGTACGCTGACCGGCGGTCCAAAGAGTTCATTGACGGCGTGCACTATTTTTTGAGAGTGGCCGAAGCTAACAGGAAAAGGGGTTTTATTTGTTGTCCATGCAATAAGTGTAAGAATCAGAAGGAGTATTCTGCATCCAGGACTATTCATTTCCACTTGTTTGAGTCGGGGTTCATGCCAAGCTATAATTGTTGGACATCCCACGGAGAGCAAGGTGTTGAAATGGAAGAAGATGAAGTGGAAGACGACAATATTCCGGACTTTGCTCAATTTGTTGGATTTGAAGGAAATCAAACGGGCGAGGAGGAAATAGCTGCTGATGGTAACGACGTTGCGGATGATCTTGGTCAAATGTTGCAGGACGCCAGGGAGGACTGCGAAAGTGAAAAGGAGGCCCATAAATTGGACAAGATGTTGGAGGACCACAGAACTTCGTTGTACCCAGGTTGCGAGCAGGGGCACAAAAAGTTGGATACCACTCTGGAGTTGTTGCAATGGAAGGCAAAAAATGGGGTTAGTGACAAGGCATTTGGCGATTTATTGAAACTCGTCAAGAACATTCTTCCGGGGGGAAACAAATTGCCCGAGACAACGTACGAGGCTAAGAAGATAGTCTGCCCGTTAGGACTGGAAGTTCATAAGATTCACGCATGTCCGAACGATTGTATCCTATATCGCGGTGAGGAGTACGAGAACCTAGAAGCATGCCCTGTTTGCAAAGCACTACGATACAAGATTAGACGGGACGATCCAGGAGAAGTTGACGGGCAGCTAACAAAGAAGAGAATTCCTGCTAAGGTGATGTGGTATTTCCCTATAATACCACGGCTAAGGCGTTTGTTCAGGAACAAGGGGAATGCTAGAATGTTGCGATGGCACGCTGAAGAGCGTCAACAGGACGGGATGCTGAGACACCCCGCCGATGGTTCGCAGTGGCGAAACATCGACAGAAAATTTAAAGAATTTGGAAAGGACGCACGAAACATACGGTTTGGTTTGAGTACGGATGGCATGAATCCTTTTGGAGAGATGAGCAGCGGCCATAGCACTTGGCCCGTTACGATGTGTATCTACAACCTCCCCCCCTGGCTATGCATGAAGAGGAAGTACATAATGATGCCGATTATTATTCAAGGCCCCAAGCAACCTGGTAACGACATCGACGTGTACCTAAGACCACTGGTCGAGGATCTTAAACAGTTGTGGAAGAAGGAAGGTGTCCCCGTGTGGGACGAGGACAAACAGGAGGAGTTTAACCTACGAGCGCTGCTGTTCGTAACCATCAACGATTGGCCTGCACTTAGCAACCTATCCGGACAGTCCAACAAGGGGTACAAGGCTTGCACTCACTGTATGGATGAAACAGAAAGTACGTATCTTAAGCACTGTAGGAAGGTTGTATACATGGGTCATCGTCGATTCCTTGCAGCAAACCACCCGGTACGGAAGAAAGGCAAGCACTTCGAACATAAGGCCGACCACCGTACGAAGCCTAAACATCGCAGCGGGAAAACAGTGTTTGCTATGGTTAAAGATCTTAAAGTAGTGTTCGGAAAGGGGCCTGGAAGCCAGCATATAGAGAGCGAAGATGGTCACGCGGCGATGTGGAAAAAGAACTCTATATTTTGGGAGTTACCATATTGGGAATTCTTGGACGTACGCCACGCAATCGACGTGATGCACCTCACTAAGAACCTTTGCGTAAACCTTCTTGGCTTCCTAGGTGTATACGGAAAGTCGAAAGATACACTGGAAGCACGTAATGATCTGAAGCATATGGAACAACGCGGCGACCTTCACCCGGAACCAAAGGAGAAAGGAAGCCATTACTTGAGTCCAGCCAGCTACACTCTTAGCAAGGCAGAGAAGGAAAGTATGTTTGAATGCTTGGAGAGCATAAAGGTACCGTCTGGATACTCCACGAATATCAAGCGAATAATAAGCACGAAGGAGAAGAAGTTCACAAACCTAAAGTCTCATGACTGTCACGTGTTGATGACACAACTGCTACCAGTTGTAATAAGGGGTATCCTTCCAGACAATGTCCGGGCAACAATAACAAAGCTATGTGCATTCATGAACGCAATTTCGCAGAAGGTCATCGATCCGGATAGATTAGATGCCCTTCAGAATGAAGTGGTGCAATGTCTCGTCAGTTTTGAGTTGATATTTCCACCTTCATTTTTCAATATAATGACACATCTGCTTTGTCACCTTGTGAAAGAGATCCGTATTCTCGGGCCTATGTACCTACACAACATGTTTCCTTTCGAGAGGTACATGGGCGTTCTGAAGAAGTATGTTCGTAACCGTGCTCGTCCAGAGGCAAGCATCGCCAAGGGTTATGGAACAGAGGAGGTCATCGAATTTTGCGTAGAATTTATCGAAGACCTTCGCCCAATCGGGGTACCGGAATCACGCCATGAAGGGAGACTACGGGGAAAGGGAACTCTCGGAAGGAAAGCAATTATGACGGTAGACAACAATTTATTCCGTAAAGCCCATTTCACTGTTCTGCAACACTCTTCATTGGTAGCTCCTTACATCGAGGAGCACTTGGCTCTAGTTCGCGCCAGGAACATCGGTAAGTCCGATGTATGGATTACACGGCATCACATTGATACTTTCCCCGCGTGGCTACGACAACATCTCATGGGTAACGAGTCGATCAACCAACAACTTGCCTTCCTGGCGAGGGGACCGTCTGGGTCGATCGCGACATTCCAGGGATATGAGATCAATGGGTACACATTCTACACGAGAGCCCAAGACATGAAGAGCACGAACCAAAACAGCGCTGTTCGTGTCGATGCCATGGGACACGATGGAACAACTGCCACGTATTACGGTGCCATCGAGGACATATGGGAACTTGACTATGGTCCTCTCAAGGTTCCTCTGTTCCGGTGCCAATGGGTTAGGTTGACTGGTGGAGGCGTAATGATTGATGACAGTGGGATGACAACTGTTGACCTTAACAAGGTTGGATACTCGGACGAACCTTTTGTCCTTGCCAATGATGTAACGCAAGTCTTTTTCGTGAAGGACATGTCTAGCAAAGGAAAGAAGGGCAGAGGGCCTGATGAGCCTAAGCGTCAAGTGGTTCTCCCAGGCAAAAGAAAAATCGTCGGAGTTGAGGACAAGACTGACGAGGATTACGATCAGTTGGATGGGCAACCCCCTTTCACGGTGACGATTGACCCTAGCATCCTCCTATCAAATGAAGACACCCCTTACTCACGCAGCGATCACAAGGAGGGAACAATAGTGAGGAGAAAGTACGTGCGGTCAACCGTCACCGCCGATGTAATGCCGTAATTATTGTGTACACGATGTAAACTATTTTGGATGTATTGATTATCCATATAAATCAATTGATGTATGGCATATGTTAATTACGCACGATTATTAGAGGTTTCAACAAGTTCAAATCATGTATATGCTAGTTATATGTGATACTTACAATTTTTAAAAGTTTTAAATCACACAGGTGGCAATTTCATATGTACGTTAATTAGAGTTTTTAACATTTAATTTACTAGCATTCATATGCTAATTATAATTGACTAGAGGATTTTTAAAAGTTTTAAATCACGCAAGTGGCAATTTTATATGTTAATTAGAGTTTTTAACATTTAATTTACTATCATTCATATGCTAATTATAATTGACTGGAGAATTTTTAAAAGTATTAAATTTAATATATTTTTAAAACTATCATTCATATATTAGAGTTTTTCACAATTTAATTTACTATCTTTCATATGCTACTTATATATGACTATTCGAATTTTTAAAAGGTTTAAATCATGCATGTGGCATTTACATATGTTAATTAGAGTTTTTAGCATTTAATTTAATATAATTCCTACGCTAAGTATATATGATGATTACAATTTTTATTAATTTTAAATCATGCAGTATGTACATAC